GTCGCAAAGAGTCGGACTCGACTGTGCTACTGAACAACAAGAAGTATTTTTCTTTAAACATTGCGGTCCTGATAGCAAATTATGAGAGTTGTTTAGGTTCCTCACAAAGATGGCGCGATGCTTAGCGCGTTTGACTAAAGCAACAAGCCCGAGAGTTAAGGCGGACCCAAGTAACCCAGCGCGGGTTCAACATTTCCCCAACTCGCAAATCAACACCCAGCGTAAACTTCTTTTAAAAATTAACATTGTCATTGTATTACAATTAATTAAGGTTTTTAGTTGAGATAAAAAAGTCAATGGCACGAGCGGGATTCGAACCAACGATCTTCGGCTTGATACGCCGCTTCTCTACCACTTGAGCTATCGTGACCTCAAGTGGTAGAGCAGCGGCGTATCAAGCCGAAGATCGTGGGTTCAAATCCCGCTCGTGCCATTGACTTTTTTATCTCAACTAAAAACCTTAATTAATTGTAATATATTAACTGGTCCAGCGGACCACGAAATTAGTGAATTGTCATTGTATTTTTAATGTAAAAACTGATATTAAGAAACACAGTTTAATCACTGTCAGCACTATGACCTTTTACGACCGATAATTGAACTATAAAATAATTTACTGAACACCTTCCTTCAAGAAGGGCAATAAATTGTCTAGAAAATAGTTGAGAACAGTTGGTTACTTATTGCGATTCGATCACAGTGGAAATTTAGCTGTTTTTGGTATTAAATTCTACATCTGACAATAGTAATATAATTTTTGAAATGAGAGTCAGAGAGACATATTTTAACATCCTGGAAATTTTATATTATTTTGATACCATGACCTCTAAACATTTTTACTTCCTACTTTACAAATACGTTTTAACTGCTGTTTGTAACTTTCTTTTTTATCCAAATAAGTCTAGAAACACCGCTATGATCCGTACAATCGTCTACCTTCCAAATTAACAATATTGTTTGCCTCAGTAAATCCTTGATTGTGTACAGTTAATTTATTTATATTTGTAATGTGTGGTGATTAGTGACCGTTAATCGATATTTATTTAGAAATCGTGAGATGCGGTCTGGTGTGATGTAGGTTTCAGAAAAACATCTTCTTTATCGTGCCAACGTTTCGATCTTTATTGAGATCATCTTCAGTGCTCAAAGTGTTTGTCTTCTGTGTAATTGTGCCTTCTTGCGTGTCGTGTCGAGAGTGCCCGAGTGCCCAAAATCAACACGACAGACAAGAATGACACACCTACACGGAAAATGAACACTTTGAGCCCTGGAGATGATCTCAATAAAGATCGAAACGTTGGCACGATAAAGAAAATGTTTTTCTGAAGCCTACATCACACCAGACCGCATCTTACGATTTCTAAATAAATATATTTGTAATATTTTGACAAGTTATAGAACCGCTTTGGAAATGAAAATTTATCATAAAAGTATAATCATTAATTAAACTATTTTGTTATGTGTTTTCACTCAGAAGTATTAATTATAACTATCGGTTTAGCTATACTATTAGTGTAGCATGTTAGCAATTACTTGTAGTTTTCCTATTTCTTCCTAGTCAATTATGTCCTATGAATTTTTCTTGAAAACTTCCGCCTGAATTAATTAGTCACGGAGGCAAAATTTATGTTAGGAAGAAAACCCTTGTTTAATCAACCTAGTTGATGAATCGTTGACAAAATCCACTTTGCTACAAGTGATTGAAGATCTTTACTTCACAACTTTAACGCTTACCTTGTGTTTGCCGTCGCGAAACTTTAACTATCACAACTTCCCTAGGCAAATTGCCAAAACAAACCGAACTTTGAAATGTTATTTGTCCGCTCTTAATTTGATCGAATTGTTAATAAATTTTCCTGAGCAAAACTCTTTCCGAAATGGAGTTTGTTGTTTTGTCAACTCCAAAAACTCTGTCAAGAAAGAAAAGTTAAAGGATATTTTACGTTTTTAAAGTAAAAAAAACTACGTTAAAATAATCTAGAAAAATTTTAGACATAGACCTTCTAAGGAGAACGTACCCCGAGGGAGAAAACCCATTTCTTACCGACGGCCGGCCCTCTGGATAGCTACAGGGTGCAGCATCCCCATTCTTCCGGCTGAGATAACAAGCCCGGTCAGATTATCTTCCCTTCCTTTATAGATTAAACTCGCACCCCTTCGGAGCGAATGGGGTGCCGATCGGTATTAAAATTCCTGATGGGCAGCCTACCCTACGGTAATCCGAGGTCGGCCTGAGCAAACACGATTGCTTATTCTGTTAACATCAAATCAATTTTAATATCTTTTAAGGCTTTTTAGCTTTGTTTTAAAATCAATTTGGGTCTAAACACATCCAAGACTTTATTTATTGTGACGACCGAGGGGAAAGATTGGGTATTTTGTTTTTTCAATTATCAGAAGGTTCAGTAAAGATCTCATCTTTCTCTCTGTTATTCAATTTTAGTATCTTAAACCTAAGTTATGTTAAGCTTGCTATAATTTATTAATTGTTTATAACTTACGGCACTAGACACGTTTTAAAAATCAGTTGCCCAGAAAAGTGATATATAGAGCCGAAAACTTGGCTGGTATAGTACAACAGTATAGTATAACGGTTCCGCTAATTGAAGTTTACCGTTATATTTAACGTCTTCCAAATAACGTTCACTAATTGAAGGCTTTTTGATTGAAGGATTTTGCCGTTAATGCTAAGTTTCCTGGGGAGTTTGTTCAGGTTATAGACATATCATGCTTGTAAACAAAGGCACCTATTCATGAATGTTATAGATTTTCTCTTGATTGCTGACGATAGTTTGGCAAATACTGATGACCTGATAGTTGTTGAAGTTCTAATATAAAAATTAAACTTTAATTACAGGGCAAGTACAGTTGAAATTCATTTGAAGGCGAAAAGTGTCAAAAATTAAAGAAAAAAAGTTTAGGATAGCAATTTTAAGAAAAACTAAAGTATTAAAGTGCAGTTAGTTAACCATATACATACTCATTAAAACCACATTCTATACCGCATAAAATTTTATCTTTTAAATTGTATTTAGTCAGTTCAGCCTTATTTTTTAAATTTGACAATATCTTTGAAAAAATTATTTTATTGACTTTACTGTCACCCGTTCAAATGCACGCTAGTTCGAAATAACTCAGGACGCTATTTCTCGTTAACGTCAAATCTGCGCATGCGCACTTCAATCAATTTAGCGTTACCGTTCACACTAACGTAAAGTTGGACGGATTAACCTCGATTCTCCTATACACGTCCTCATGATTTAATACATTTTTGTTAAGAAGCTTTTTGACATAATTTATTGCCAGAAAATGAATCTTAGATCACTAATTAAATAAATGTCATATCGTCGATTTATTTAATGAATTAATAATGCAATATTTTCCAAGCAATTAAAGGGAATAATATTGAGTCAATATTATAGAAAAGTAACTTAATTAAATTACCATTTATTTATATATTACTTCAAATGTTTCTTAATTTTTAAATATTAACCAACTTGTTATCGTACTGAAGTTGTGAGGAAAGGACTAACTTCAAACAGACCAGAGGACATCCAACGGTTTTGATTGTTCGATTTGACGTAAAATGGTAACGGGTAAGTTTTGTTTTCTTACTATAAAGGCCTATAATGAACCATTATCATTTTTTCGTCAGGCCCTGAATGCAAAAATTGTAAAAACAATAATAGATTACCGTAGACAACTCGTTTTTCTTTTTTTCGTGGTGTGGTTACCTGATTTTAGAATTTTCATTTGTTGTTTTAGTATACTTTGTTGTAATTAGATAAGGTTTTATTTATTGAGTAATAGAGCAATAATCTGCAGGAAGCTCAGTAACTTCCATACATAACGAGATAACTCACATTAAACGAAAATATATCGTGGGTAGAAACTGTCCAGTGATAGTACTCCTAAATAAGAAATCATTCACTTAATCATTCGCACTTTCTGAGAGCAGGTCACGAAGCCACTGCCTTTTTAGACGTCGAGAAAGATTGCTGGGAAGTGACCGAGAGGAAAGTAGTCGTACGCGGAGGTGATTGGAGGTTAGTCTAGAATGTTTTGTAACTGGATTTTATTTAATTTAAAAAGGGAACATTTAGGTCGTCATGGATGGTTTGAAAAATAGAACGGAGTGTTAACGAAGGATCTAAGGATTCGGCATTATAAGGCCTGGATTCTGCAGAGATGGGAAGATTTGGTTGTACCCCAAGTTCTGTGCTGTATGTCCAAATTGGGTTCAGTATTGAGTTGTATAAGAGTATTTTGTTGTCAAGGGAGAGTTTATATTTACGTGCTAGCTGACGTCTAGAAACAGTCCTAGATAGCGGATGACGGTTTCGTTAGGAAGAGAGGTGAGGGTATAATACAATAGATTGGAGGTAGAGTGATGACGGAGGGTGACGGTTATTTTGGGACTAACAGTGTTCAGATTATTTGAACGATTGGATTGAATGTGTGTCCGGAGGATGCAATAAGCTACGACGGAGTCATGGCAGTGTCATGAGCGTACCTTATGGTAGTGGTGGCGGGATGGGAAGGAATATCATCACAATCTACTGAATACAGTAGCGGGCCGTGGAGGCTACCCTGAGGGACTCCCACGTCCACGCTTAACAAAGCGCCTGTCAGCCAGATAGAATTTAACAAAGAAAGTTAAGTTTAAATTAGCTGGTCGGATTGTTGCTAAACGTTGATGTTTCAGTGTTTTAGATTTTAATTAAAAACCCTTTGATATGAAAATTAAAAGGTTTGTTAAGCGTAGTTCTGGGGGTTGAAAGGAATTTGTTCAGAGTCCTGGAGTCGGAAGGACCCCTGGCAAAGGCAGGATGTGATGCTCACGTGCCTCTGGAAAACTGGGTCACCCAATGGAAAGGAAAGGGGGCGTGGCGGCAAACATAGCCGACCCTGCCCCTGTCTCCAACTCGAATTATCATTTTAATCAAATCCCCTAGATTAACAATTATACCGAGAGGTCGAAACCATCAATCGATACGAACCCGTGTATTTGAGGGAGCCGATTTTTTTGTCCATCTGGTACTTTTTGTCGGCCATCTTGGCGAATCCTGAAACAGACAGAAATGGATTGCTTAAATAACGTCTATTTTATTGATATGAAGTGGAGGATTTATTGAGTTTCATGGTGAAAATAATATATTTTCTATGATTTTTGCTATAAACTAAAAGACCGAGCTGAACTAGGTAATGAAGCTATAACCTATTTCTTGTCATATATTTTCAGAACCCTTCTGAATTAACGGGAATAAGGACTAGCACCATGATCAACTACATGATTAGTACAATAGAACTAAATCAATTTATGTTTTTATTTGACATTTTCACGCTAAACGTTATAGCTATTTATTTTTCGGGATAAAACCGATACAGCAAAACAAAGATTTTAGCTATTTCCGTTGATATCAGCTCAGAAATTCGGTTGGTTTCGATTTCAAATAAGCAAAGACACATTAGCATGACCAACGTGCAAATAGTAAAGGGTTAAAATCTCATATGAATTACATTTACTCACTATAGCTGTGCCGGGGACGAGGGCTGGAAGAGGACTGAATCTGGCTGTATCGACCTCCTGGTGTTCCTAACTAGGGCAGGACCGCCCCCAGATACGCCTACGCACCCGCCCTCGCAGGATCGATTCTGTTTCCTTTCGCCGGCTACGACAAATCGCCGATGACTCCCGCGGAAAAACGCTTTTCACACCGATGGTATCTCACCTCGAGGGAGCGACGGATGAAAGGCCTCCATACCACCGGGGGACCTATTTGTCGTAGGTTGTTGAAGAGGACGAGGTAGCATAGCCGATTCGCGGAAATATGAGATTCTTAAGTGTGAACGAGGAAAATGCGAAAGAACTCCAACTCGAAGGTGGTTCAATGCAAACAAACGACGCTCACGTCTATTCTGAACTTAACAGGTCAAAAAGTGAAGAGTGCTTAAGCTAAATTCTTTAAATTCACTAATTTCGTGGTCCGCTTGACCAATTAAATCATTACAATTAATTAAGGTTTTTAGTTGAGACGAAAAAAAGCTAATGGCACGAGCGGGATTCGAACCCACGATCTTCGGCTAGATATGCCGCTGCTCTAAAACTTGAGCTATCGTGACCTCGATCCGCTCGGACACCAACTTCCCATCTCAACCCCACCTTTTGAATTTTCACACGATAGCTCAAATGGTAGAGTAGCGGGCGTATCAAGCCGAAGATCGTAGGTTCAAATCCCGCTCGTGCCATTAGCTTTTTTTCATCTCAACTAAAAACCTTAATTAATTGTAATGATTTAATTTTTCACAATTTGATTTTTCACAACGTATACACTACTGTACTACATTTTAGCATAATGTCTTTTTAATTTAAGAGAAAAATTCAAGATTAAACATAGCTAATAACAAAATTAATATATTACAATTAATTAATGTTTTTAGTTGAGATAAAAAAGTCAATGGCACGAGCGGGATTCGAACCCACGATCTTCGGCTAGATACGCCGCTGCTCTAAAACTTGGAAAAAGAGAAAGAACTTGAATTTGAAGGAGTTTCATAGCAAAAACTACCCCATTTCCACTGTAAACACGGTAGGTTAAGTGGTTAGAGAGCAGCGACATGAACCGAAGAAAATTCATAACTTCTAACCTAAACTCCGTTCAGTTTTCATGACACCAAGCGCATTTTTCATAAAAAATAAGATACTTTTTTAGGGCAAATTAAAAACTGAGCGTCTAATTTAAAATTTAAAATTGATGCCTGTGTAATGGAAAAGTAAAGTAAATTTTCATGAAAGCTATAAAATCAAAGTGAATATTTGTTTTCCAGAGATATCTTGACTTGCTGTAAAAATATACAACCTGAAGGGAGTATAACCAAATCCAATAAAGTTTCAGCGCTAGTTTACCTTTGAAGCGTGAGATAGAAAGATAGAAAAAAACTTCTGTTCAATATATCTATGCTGAACTTAATAATAAATACGTTGTAAAAATTAGCTAAATTTGAATGGTGATAATATAACATTTAATTGAATATAACCATAGCTTAATAATTCCTAGCAAGATAGACATAAAATACAATACAAACTTGCAAAACAAAACACACCTCAACCAAAAATATCGTGAATTCGATCCACTCGGACACCAACCTCCCTCCAACCCCACATTTTGAATTTTCCCTCTTTTTTGTCTTTGTTGGTGTCCGAGTGGATCGAATTCAGGATAGTTCAAGTGGTAGAGCAGGAGCGTATTTAGCAGAAGGTCGTGGGTTCGAATCCCGCTCATGACGCTGACTTTTTATCCCCAACCAATACCTTTCATAAAGATTAACGAATTGAAAAGAAGTTATTTGGTCAATCGGACCACGAACTCTAATGAATTTACATAGAAGTTTTCTAAATATAAGGAGTTGGGAGTCATGTATTGTTGCCTTTTAAATGTATAATTATGTAACAAATAATACATAAATAAAAAATCCGTTTTCATCAATATAAAATTATATTTTTAGCAGCTGTGTGATTTTATCTTCTTTTACTTTTTTTCGTTTTCCTGTACGTCACATTTCAGGATCCCAAAAACGCTTGTTGGAAATATTCACAATGGGTTGTCGGTCCAGGGCCATAGGGTTTCTACGTGAAGGGAAAATTTGCATCTCCGGAGGGGCTTAAAAGTTTGTGGCGGCTTAAAAGTTTATGATTAAAAGTCAAAGTTTACGGCTCCATCCGGGCCGGGTTGAAATTCAGTTTGAGCCGAGGATTCCATTGGAGGGGCCTACTGACGTAGGTCGTGGCCATGGCAACCTTGTCAATAGGGTCGAGGATCGAACCGGCCGAGTTTCGCGGAGACAAAAGCTCCGCAATTAGCGGATTTGGTTATAATTGGAAAAGTTTATCAGATTAGAAAATGGAGGTGAAAAGGCAGAGAATGCGAAGAAGTTGGCCGCGATGGCGTCCATCTTCCATGACACGAGCTTTAAATTTCAATCCATCAGGCTTATAAATTGCTGTTTGAAATTTGTTCCCCTCACTTTTCTAACTTCCGCCCGTCAATAAATCACGTTCATAAAAATTCTTCTTCACTTCTTTTGCTGAGAACACAAATATCGGGATAAGCACAGCGTTCAATTAAACTTACAAAAAAAATCAATTAATTAAGGTTTTAAGTTGAGATAAAAAAGTAAGTGTCACGAGTGGGATTCGAACCCACGACCTTCGGTTTGATACGCCGCTAATCTAGCCGTGGGTTCGTATCCCGCTCGTGACACTGACTTTTTTACCTCAACTTAAAACCTTAATTAATTGATTTTTTTTTTTGTAACTTATATATGCATGCATAACTAATTGTAGACCTGCAGCAACCATGTGTTTAATTCACTAGTTTTCGTGGTCCGCTTGACCAATTGATATCTTTCAATTAATTAAGGTTTTAAGTTGAGATAAAAAAGTAAGTGTCACGAGTGGGATTCGAACCCACGACCTTCGGTTTGATACGCCGCAAATCTAGCCATGGGTTCGTATCCCGCTCGTGACACTGACTTTTTTACCTCAACTTAAAACCTTAATTAATTGATTTTTTTTTGTAACTTATATATGCATGCATAACAAATTGTAGACCTGCAGCAACCATGTGTTTAATTCACTAGTTTTCGTGGTCCGCTTGACCAATTGATATCTTTCAATTAATTAAGGTTTTTAGTTGAGATAAAAAAGTCATTGTCACAAGCGGGATTCGAACCTATGATCTTCGGCTAGATACGCCTCTGCTGTACCACTTGGGCTACCGTGACCTCGATCCACCCAGACACTAACTTCCCACATCAACCCCACCTTTTGAATTTTCTCTCAGTTAGTGACACTGACTTTTTTATCTCAACTAAAAACTTTAATTAATTGAAAGATATTAATTGGTCAAGCGGACCACGAAAAATATTGAATTTAATGAATTAAAATGAAGTATACTTCACTAAAAGCTCTCCGCGGTCATTTCACTTGACGCCGAGAATAAAAACAAATTACACGATATTTGAAAAATGGCTAAAAGGAGGGAAAATTCAAAAAGGTGCGGTTGAGATGTGAAGTTAGTGCATGAGGGATCGAAGTCACGATAGGTCAAGTGGTAGAGTGGCGGCGTATCAAGCCGAAGGCGTCGGTTCGAATCCCGCTCGTGACACTGACTTTTTTTATCTCAACTTAAAACCTTAATTAATTGAATTATATCAATTGGTCAAGCGGACCACGAAAAATAGAGAACTTAATACAAAAAAAACTTGATAACACGTAAAATTGATCAAAACTTTAGCATTAATTGGTTAGGATCGTACGATTGTAAACTGGTAGACTGAAAACTAACGGGTATTGCTTTAAATCTAGCACATTTGTCGATCGACCTCGAATTCTAAATTAAATTGCAAATAAACTGGTCGCCTAACTAAACTTCCTTTCCTCCCAAACATGCTATAAACACACAACTTTTCTCATTATTTACAAAATTTAGGATGTTAAATTGACTGATCATTAAATTACTGGTATTTTTGGGTAAAATAAAAACCCTTGTATGCAACTTATTGTTGCATAATATTTTCAAAAAAGTGATAATCGCAGGAAAAATTTTGTAATTTTATGAGAAAGATTTTTCCATTTAAAAGCCTAACACGATATGAAAGATGATTTTAATTCAACTTTATTCAAACACACCACTAAGACTGTAGTTTTCCAACTTTATTAAGTTTACTTTTTCATATCTAGATAGTTTTATTACATTAATGGGGGGCGATACTATGCATTGGAAACAACGTAGGTGAATGCTTATCATCCCAGATATTCGATCGTCGACCCCTCGGTCTAGGGTTCGATCCTTCCCAAGCCCTTGGAATTTTTTGAATACTCCTCTTCCCGCGAACAATTCCTTAACATCGTTTCTGTACAATATGCTATAGGGCCATAAAAAATTGTTTTGATATTTTTGGATGTTTTTATACTAGGTAGTACACTGACTAGTTTTTACTTTTTGGCACATTCCTTGAAATTTTTATTTGAAATAAATATTCAAGATCGTATTATAACATTAACACAATGTACACAAATATCCAAATTATTTGATATATTAAATAATGTACATGAGTTTAAACTTTTTTTCATATACAAGATGGTTTTTTATGGGATGCAAAAGTAAATTTGTCAACCAAAATACATATTGAAATTCCTCGTTAAATTCGTTCATTTAACCCGCTGAACGACTATTGATTGAAATAAAAGAGTTCAGTAAATGTCTCATTTAACGAGTATTTTACAAACGATCTCAGTTTCGATGAAAATCCGTAAGTATGGACAAAACTTTTTTTTCTGGCAAAACGTTAATATATTGGATCGAAACAATAGCCCCAATAAACGAAAGTTTTTAGAAATATATCAGTAAGTAACCTGGATAATTTTATTGCAAAGTTGTGAAGCTAAAAAAGAAATGTGTGGTGTTCAGTAACCGTTAATCAATGATTATTCGGAGATCGTGAGTTGCGGTCTGGTGTGACGAGGTTTTAGACAAACATTTTCTTTATCGTGCCAACGTTTCGATCT